AAGGGTCGGCCTGTTCATCCCGCCCAGTCCACCCTTATAAATTGGCAGACTTACACATATATATTTATCCATCAGACCTGAAACAAGATATGGATGGGTTTGGGATAAGGTGTAGGCCCGTTCGGGCTAATAAGTTCTTCATCATCATCATCATCATCATCATCATCATCATCATCATCATCATCATTACCCCAATGCTGCAAAGGTTCCCACCTACGGTGGGGTAGGGGGGGTCGGATGTACGCAGCCTTACCCCTGTACTAAAACACAATGAGACTGTTTCCGGATGACCCATGTGAAAATCACGTCGAAAATTGCATGGACTGACTGCTACTTCATAACAAAGAAGCGCAGATAGTTTAGAGAGTCATTTTGCTTTATTCCATCATACTCCCATGCCAAAAATAGGTAAACTTTGGCTCCATCATATTCCATCATATTCCAACCCGGTATAATTAATTCATATTAATATATATAGCGAAAAGTACAAAAAAGAAATACTTGTGGTCTAGAGTGTTTTCAGAAAGGGTCATGTGCTCCATTTCTTCCCAAAGTCGACCTTGTGTTTTAGGTCTACTATCACTCTTGGGGTCCGAAGCCAAACTCCATTACAAAGAGATGAGGTGGCAAGTATTTTAAAACTTGGCCCTATAAGACCATCCAAAAAGAGTCTGGTTAATTTTTCATCATTCCCCATCACCTAGTAGTAAGTTCATGGGAGGAAGACAATTAACAATAACTCCAATTTTAAAAAGTGTCCAGCAAATTAAAACAAAAACAGTGGGAGGTGTGCCTGATCAAGGCGACTTCAAACCATTTTGTTGTTTCCAGCCACCTCTGTCGCCAAAAAGTCAACCAGAAAGCTCTGAGATGCGCAGAAAATGAAAAGTATCCCGACCAAGGGTTAGTTCAATAAATGGATCAAATGGTGTTTTCGGAAACTCAAAATGCATTAGTGGGTTATGCGTCAAAATCAGTGTGGTGATGAACAGTGATCTATGCGAATTATTTTTCTGAGAGTCCAAAAGAGCCGGAAAATCCAAAAGATGCAAATCCAATCATGCATATTGCAGGCGTGAAGAAATTCATCCTTGAATCTGGGAGAAGAAGTCATTTTAATTGTGGATTGTTCGTTAAAAGGTCATTGATCATCGTCTTGTTCCTCTGAGTTCACCACTTGGAGACATCATCATTATTTTGCGCCACACAACGTTGAAGAAGTTGCCTTGAACATCACACTGAGTTATTATTGGCCACATAAGGGGCCAATTTTTAAAAAGGAATTGCCACCTTAGTTGTTACTAGCAGAGTTTTCCTTCGGACCCCACAGGTGATAACTAACTTAAAACACAAGGACAACTTTGAGGAGAAATGAAATACAGACCCTTATCCATAAACGCTCTCAACCACAAGTATTTTTCTGTATTTTCCCTATTATTTGTTCATATATGGAGTATGCATGATTGCATCTAATATTTATGTATGTAATATGTGGTTCACTATGATTATGCATATTTATGGTGCACTATGTTTAACTATAGTTTTTAGATTTTAACTTCTAGCTCAACCCAATATAATAGATTTTAACTCTCAATGTTGTGTTCTTGAATAGTAAGGTTTTTTTACTTGGACCGTTTTCAGTCCCAGACCAGACTAAACTTGGATAGTTATAAAATACACAAAGACCGGACGTTTGCCAGACCATTTCAGACCAGACCAAACCAGAAAATTCCAGTCCAAGTAAAAATATCCTAATTTTAGTTATAGGCTTTTATGATTATTATTGTGCTAACATTATTTGTATGTGTGATGAGAGACATATGAACATTATAAAGACTAACAATTTTTTAAAATGTTGTAGTGTCATTTTAAAAGTGTTCTAAAATGTTTTATTAATATTTGTGTGGTTGCAACTCATTCTTACTTTATCAAATCAATATCAACCATACAATCTCACTGTTCTTAATACTGCACCACCTCCTTATGTACCAAACTTAGGAGAATCAATGTAGTATTATTTAAAGTTTTTCCAATAAAACTAACTCTCAATCGAAGCTTTATTGTATTGTTGTTGATAAGATATGTTTTACCTCTTGAAAAGTATCCGATATGCGTTACAATGCTCTTCTGAAAAAGTGAAACTGTTAAAAGTGGAATTATTCGTATAAGATCATGCCTTGCATGCTTAATTGCTCAATACAGCTTCTTTTCCGTTAAAGTATTGAATATATGTGTTGTAGGTGACGTATAAGTTTCGGTGTGTGGTTCGGGTAGTTGCATCATTGCCCTGGAGAGTTTCAGAGTTCCGCTCTCCTTCGGGGACCTATAGGGTCAGGTTGACACTAGAAGATCCAACTGCTAGAATCCATGCTTTTCTTTATGCAGATGATGCGGTAAATAAAGTTCTATTCACCTTCATCATCGTCACTTTGCATAGAATTTTTAATTGAGTCAAAGCATAAATAAGTTACGAAGTTCACCCTTACAGATGAAACTCACTTTCCTGACTTTACTGAATGGACAGATAAAATGAATCCCAAAACTCTCAAAGTTGTTATTTAAACTGGAACAGAGGAAGTATATTAGGGTCAATGGCTTGAATCGATTGATTGTCTGGAATTACTATGCATAAAATCATATTGACAAAGTATAGTGCTTGGCGCCCCTCAGACCACAGTTTAAAAAAAAGAACAGTGAAATGAAATTTCAAGACCGTCATTTGAGTTTGTTGAATTCCACCCCTCAAGGTGGAATTATGTGGTTTTGTTGGCCTAGTGGTTGAATTCCACCCCGTCATTTGATTCTTGGCCTCTTGTGGTTTTGTTGAATAATGAATGAATCTCATTTACACAGGAAGAGTTCTTTAGACCTTTCCCATCAGCTGATCAATTAACAACAAAGTGGAATTTGTTGCTTGGCGTTCCTGTGAGCAGCGCCTATGGTAGTTACACTTCTAGATCTCCTCCATGGATTGAGTGCTGTCTGAAGTCTTATTATGTCGACAAAAGTGATGTTTGGGGTAGTAGAAACTATCAGATCTTTGCAACAACTTTAGTGGAATAGCCTTGAACATTTCCCCCAAATACTACTGTCATTTGCAATCTTTTCTATATCAACATTTTTGGTAAATATGTTGGACATCTTTTCTATATCAACATTTTTGGTAAATATGTTGGACACGAAGCAATTGGAGTCGTAGAGTAAATTTATAAAGTTGCGTTCGAGCCCTTCAGTTGTTCTTCAATGAACTTGGATTCTGGTTCAACTCTTTTCACTGTATTAGGTGTGAATACAGAAGGGAACTGGGATTGTGTGCGTCCATTATTTTAACTGAAAACTATACTTTCGGCCTTTCGGGCGGGATTTGCGGGAATACTTATGAGTTATGACTATACTATGACGCCAGACTGCAATACTGCAACCACAAAAAGGGCAGACCGTTAGAGATCAAACTTGGTCACCACATCATAATACTTACCACTGTACTATAAGTTTATGACGCCTATATTGACAACTTTAAAATTTACATTTTAATAACAGTTTGCTCATTTCTCGATGATAGTTTTAGAAACAAAATTATCAACTCTTTGAAGTCTAAAGGTCTCAAGTTTGGTGCCATTGTGACAATGTTTCTATAAACTTGACAATTGTCAAATGAAATAAGAAAGCAAAAAATATTTTAGTTTAGATTTTAATATTTGTTTGGTAATCTCTCTCTGATAATTTTATATGTAGTATATTAAAAGATCATAGATCTTAAGGTCTCAAGTTTGGTACAATTGTGGCATTGTTCCATGGATTTTGGTTGATTGTCACGTGAAATAAGAAAGTAAAAAATGTGTATTGATAAAAAATATACTACATTCGTCCCATTTTAATTGTCTTACTTTTCATTTTGGATTATTCCAAAATGAATGTTCTGTTTTCTTATTTGGTAAGAAATATATGATTAATATTATTTCACTTTATCCTACTCAAATCTCAACTACAACTTTTACTTTTTCAACCACTATTAATAATTGTACCAAATTGAAACAAGACATCCAATATGGGACAGAAGTAGTAATGTGTAACTGTTTATTCTCTTAAACTACTCTCTAATATACTACGTATATTTTTTCATCACCAGGTCAGCCCGACTTTGTCATACTAATTTTGTATAAGAACCCACAATCTTGCAGAAGTAAATCTGAGTCACTCGAACCATATGCTAGATTCTCACAATTAAGTATACACCATTGTACACATAAATTCACAATTAACTAATTGATTGTGCGTGTGTGAAGGTTCCCAGTGGAAACCTTTAAGAGAACACTCAGTGATTGGTCAAAAATCACCATGTTCCTAGAAAGAAGCATCGCGTTACAATGTTGCTTGAAGTGAGATGAAGCATTGTTGTGCGTCTACTCGAACTAGCCCTAACCCCGTTATTATCAATGAAAACATAGGATGATAGGAACAATGACTCCTAACTCCTAAGAGCACAGAGTTGAAATGAAGATACATATTAAAATTATTTATTAGACGAACTGCATATTGTATTGTAAATTATTTTGCTTAATATTTCTTTATTAGAACATATTTCACCACTAACTAATCTTTCTAGTGTTTTTCGTCCATCCCAAATTTTCTCCTCAAAATGAACCCCAACTACTATTTTCATTTTCAAATTTTTTCGTATGCAATGATGTTTATTAAAGGCAAATATTAGGCCATTTTTATGTACTTTTAAGTTTTAAATGTGTAGATTTTATTTAGATTTTATAATGCATATAAAATAGTTATTACGTTCAGTATTGCCTATTACATGAGCAAGGATGTTTTCTTTTGAACTGAAATTTGCTGGTCTGGTCTGATTTGGTTTGTTTAAGTCTGGTCCAGTCTGATAAATGTTTGATCTCTGTGTATTTTATAATTGTCCAAGTCTGGTCTAATCTGATCTGTTTAAGTCTGGTCTGGGATTAAAAACAATCCAAAAGAAAACATCCTAAAACACACAACACAATATGACGCTAATGACATTTTAGCATACGAGTATCAACAATCAAGTATCTCGGGTCTTTTATCAAAGTAACGCCCATTTCAGTGCTCAAGTTTTACCTTGATCCTCTAATTCATACTGGCACAGTGGCACTCATTTCCGTACTTTTGGCTACCCATAAATTGGCGCAAAAACTCAAAGTACAAATTTAATACTTAGCTGGTCATTAAACCAAATCAGAGGTAAGCAAAGCAAGAAAGAAGTAATGAGAGAGTGTAATATAGCATGGTCTTACTAGACTACACTAAAGCAAACCTAGACATGAATTTCTTCTCATTACAGTCCAGCATCTCACTCAGGCTACACTCTACCTTCTTCTCCATCAAAAGCTTTTGCCGCAATTCCAAGGTCCTCTTCAACCCATGCCTGAAGTAGTCCGGATAATCAGCAACTTCATCAATTCCTCTTCCCATCACATCCACCAAAAACCTAATCCGCGGCTTGAGAGAGTTGTTGATACTCTTAATCAACAAAGGAGGATAATGGGTGACCATACCTGCAATCTGTGAAAGTTCAAATCCGCAGGATCTCAGGTAAGATAGGTTGTGCTTCAAGGTCTTATCCACATCTCTGCACAAAATTGCCGGGAAATTGAGAACCACCCTTTGCAGATCAATCTCCGTCAGGCCCAATGACTTCAAGAAGTCAGATGTGGGTCGCAGCCTGTTTTCGACATTATAACCCATTATAAACGGGTATTTCACCAGAACTTTACCGATCATGACTTCCTTGGACAGGCCCAGATCGGCAAGAAAATCCACAATCAGTGAGAGTTTTGATTCAATGCCGTAGCTTAGAATTCTGGGGTTTAGGAGAATCATCTTGCCGAGCTGTTTGTCAGTAATACCAAGAGCTTCAAAGAAGGCCAGCAGAGGGCAGAGCTTTTCTTCAACACTATGGGAGAGTATGTGAGGGAATTTGGTAATGGCAGAAGCTACATCGTTGGGCTTTGTTCCTAATGTGGTAAGACATTGGACCATAGGTATCAGTTTGTCATGCAAACCAAGAGTGAGGATTTTGGGGCACTTTCGGATGATGAAAGGAAGTTTCCTCTCCATAACGCCTATGCTTTTCAAGTAATCCCAATTTTCGGAGGCACTTTCACTCTGTGCGTCCTCAAGACGCCTGCACTTTTGGAACATTAAGTGGATACTCTTGTCATCGAACCCTCTGTCTTTGAAAAACCACATCATTCCAGAGGTGTGGATGTTTGTATTCTCCATACTTGCTGATAATGATTCAGGGAAGGTTAGTGAACTTCAAAATAGTGGAAACAATTAGATACACTGTTTTCTTACAACCAAAAGTAGTCCTGATTAGTCTCAGGAGATGCAACCTTTTTTATGAAAACCCTGACCTAGAAGGCCTATCCTGCAGAATAGACCAGAACTGCTAGTACTGACATAGTAACACACAAATTCATTAAAAAAACTACAAATAGCATAGCTAAATAGCATCTCGAGATCAAAGTTGGCCTAAACACTACATAATTTTACTCCTATATTCACACTACTAAAAAACCAAAGTTTTATGCTACTTCAAGTATCATCACTAAAAGTGACACCACTATTTAGATAATTTTAACCCTATCATCGAAGAATGAAAGAAGTTCGGCATTAGTCATCACCATCTTTCTATGACTTTGTTTCAAATATTTCTAAATGTGGGTGATGAATTCCATAACAAAATATGAACATGAACATGAAAATAATGCATGTAAGCCCCTTATTTTCAGTTGAATCTAATATGATATGTAACAAGTAAAGCTGGATAGGAAGTAATAAAACAAACATCACTCTTGTGATACAAATTGTTATTAAATTTTATAGAATATAAATTTGTGAGAAGAGTAGATAATATTACAATTAAATGTTGTAAACGTTGCAAAATTGCTTCATTTTCAATTTTGGCAAAAACTTCCTTCTCCATGTATATCATCAAGCTGTCTTTCATTCATTCATCTTCCATTCTATTCCGTAAATCAATCTTGACGATTTTCATGCCAGAAAAGACACTCAATTGAAAACATGGTCACACGAGTAACCTAACAAGTTATAAAAGTTTTCGACTTTAAATTCTTAAATAGTTATAATCAATTAAAATTCACATGATACTAATTAATTAAAGACATGGCACAATCAATTTCAAATACCCAAACTTATGGACTTGCCCAAAATAAGCAAATAAGCAACTGGCCTTCCGCAAACAAGCAATTTTAAAGGAAATAAGTAATTAAACCAACTACGCAATTAAAGTAATTCAAACAGAACCAATTTTAAAATTAATTACCACTTACGAACTTAGAGATTTACCCAAATCTTCCGCTTCGCCCTTCTGAGTTCGGACTTCGGAGTTCGTGATGCACACACGCAGAGCAAGTCAGGCAGGGACGGAGAGTCTGGAGTTGTAACGCGAGGTCGGCGACTGGCGAGGCAAACAGATGAGGAACGCGAGGTCTGGACTATGGTAGGACGAACAGACACAGGCGCCGAAGTGAAATGAGGCTGAACTTCCGGTCTCTGGGCTATGGTTATCCAGTATCCACGAGTGAGTGGTGATGCCGCTTCGTTAATTTTTATCGAGCTTCCTCCCCGCACTCCATTTTTATCCTGCCCTATCGCTGCGTATCGTGTTGGACAATTTTATCCTGGTCTATTACTCCAATTTATTTTGTTTTTATTTTCCTATTTTCCTTAATGTCTACTTTTTTTGAAGAAAAACAAATTTATTAAAAGAAAATGAATTACAAAGAGTAAGGGGATCAAATCCAAGCCTACTCAAATTACAAAGCAAACAAAAGAGAATTCTATAACATCAAATTCAAGATATTGGTAAACTTAGTAGTTTGAGAGTTGGTGTCTTCACTGATGTACCGTGTTGCACGTTTGACTGTCTTATTAATGACTTCAAGGGAGATTGATTGCCTATTCAAAATTCTTCAAATGCGGGTAATAGTGTAGATGTTATCCCAAAAACCAACGCAATGCGACATAATTACTTGTCTGACCTTCTTGTCGTCTATTTGGATGGAATCAATCATACAATTTTTATTGCTACAAAAATTAAGACGTATAAGATGTAGCTTATAAGAGCAATTCGGGGGATCTTGCAATTACCTTTTGAGAGCCAATGGCAAGGAGTTTTCCTTTGTGGTTCCTAACAATGAAGACCGTATTTTGAGCAAGGCCAGCTTGGCTAGTAACCAAATTAATGGTGCTTGGTCTGGCTGGTGAGAAGTATTTCTTCAACTCGTGATTGTGAGAATAAGCAAGATCTTTTTTAATTTCAAAAATAGTCTTAGAATGCGAAATGGTTTTGTACTGAAGTAATTTGGCATTCCTCATTTTCCAAAGATTCCAAAGAATCATAACTGAGAAAGTTATCCTTTTTGGTTCATTTCATAATATTATCCATGAGACTGCCATCCAAAACACCGATACTAATTTTGAAATGGGACCAAATCAAGCTATTATAGCCACACTTCAGGAAATAGTGCGACATTTAATTGACTAAACAATACTCCCTTCTTTTGTCAAATTGATACTCATGTAAACTTTATAATTTCGATTGCATCTTATTAATATACTTATTTTTAACTATAAATTAATTTATACTTAAGAATATTAGATTATTAACTTTTATTTATGTTATGTTTTAAAATATTAAAGATAAAAGGCTTTGCAAAAAATATTATGGATAAAAGGGATTTTCATAAATAATATTGAAATATAATTTATGGACAAAATATTACTAAAAATACTGTAAATATATTCTCACAGTCGCAATAATGTTGATGTACTATATTGTCATATACCTCAAAGGTATCCACGTTTACGATAAAGTATCTCCACAATCCACTAAAACAATATCGGCCAAAGCAAAGCTCAGAACCAATTTTCAAATCATCAAGATAAGTCCAAAGTTGCAGTCGAGACCGTGGTCGACTCTCGTCGAGATTGGCGACATCTCTGGCACTACAGCCGAGCTCCAGGTCAACTATCACACTACTAGCGTAAAGATTGGTAAAGGCATCACTACTTTACATTATGAGCCGAGGTCACTTACCTCTTGGCTAACACATTGCATCCTAGCTTGGTCTCTACAATCGAGCTTAGGACCTCGTACAAAGATTTTGAACCTGGACATTTAAGCACTTGGATGTCACACACATTCAGGGTGACGTTATTACGCGGCAGTTGCCCCAGAGCTGTTGCCACCTATTTCTGTTACACATGCCAGCTGCCAAGATAACATGTGTGGCTTATCCAGTCACTCCAGTACGCAAGGACAAAAGCCGGTACAATACTACTAATCAATTAGGTGTTACCTCTCCAATTAGTTTTACACATGTCAACCACTCAATGGGGCAGATACTTTTAGTTGTTCATTAAGTATTTCTTTATACAACATAAATATCATCTTTCAACTTGTAGAAAGGGTCTGAATTCTGTAATCTCAGTCTTACTGTTACTCTGTCAAATTTCTTACACGATCTACACTTAACATTTTCCAGCTCTCCATCGGTTTCTGTCTACCCCAGATCGACAAAGCCATGATTTGGTGCTATCATTGATAGTCCAGATTTAAATCAAGTTTAGGTTCTCTCCAACGATTTCAAACAGCTAGAATGGTGAAAAGCGCAATGAGAAACATACGAGCAGTCAATCGGACGTCAAATGGAGCGACAACCAACGCCGCCAGGCCGATCTCTTAAATGGCTTTAAGGATACAATCTCTGAGAATGGAACCAATCAAGGTCCCATAAGTGGATCAAGTATCAACACATCGAGACACAGGCCCACAAACCTTCCATAACCGACCGGACAATTATGTGAAAAATGATATCTCCAAATGGGCATCAACGATATGAAACGAGAGTTTGACAAAGTTGGACTTGGGGTACACTTTTTGGTGTACACACTTTTACACATGTGTGTGTAGAGTTTTTTTGTCTGTATACAGCCAAAGGGTTTTGGAAATACATTTTGTCTGTATACACATAAAAAGAGACCTACACAAATATGTGTAAAAGTGTGTACACAAAAAATGTGCATTTAGATTTTTTTGACAAATGGGCTAGCGTTTTAGATGTGGGATCCTTCAATTCCTTTCTCTTTCTATCTCTACAATCTAATAAGGGTGAATGAGGGTTAGTCTGTTTTTGGTATAGATATTTTGTTGGTGGTACTGTGAGCTATGTTGACATGTACATTATGCTTAAATGTTGGTAAACTTTGCAATTTGCCTGCCTTATATCTCTCGTACCGTATGACTCCGCTATCTCCGTTATTAGCCTTCTGTTAGTAAATTCCCACGGGCCCATCTTTAGCCGCACAAGCAGGGCCCATCTTTAGCCGCACAAGTAGGGCCCATCTTTAGCCGCACAAGCAGGGCCTTTCTCTTGCTCCATCTTCACTCGCAAAATGGCGTTCTTTGGTCGCGCAGGCTTAGCTCGCACATCCCTTCGTCTTCCTCGCAGGTGAGTATTCATTAATCTCGCAATTATGGAACTATATTTACTTCCGATTGAACCTGCAAATCGATCCTTCTCCTCTCCAGTTCGAGTTATGGAATTCCAATTGGCCCGACCACCTTCGATCCTTCTCTCCCATTGCCCTATAAATGTATCTTATTCAATTAGCAAATGATATAAATGCATGTTATGGACCATAGTAAAATATTAGTTCCTTATGTTTCTGGCTTTGTTTCTCCTCCTTTAATTGCAAGTTCATAGCTGCAAAAGAGGATGCATCTCTAAAGTTGTTAAAACCTAAAATAGTGTGCAAAAGAGGATGCATCCATGAAAGTTGCTAATTTTTCCCCCTGTTTAATTATTGAAACTTTTCCTCACAGATACAGCGAAATAGAAGCCGAAACAGAAGGGACAGTTTAGTTTCAAAACTTAAGTTTAAGTTCATCTCATTGCTCTTAGGTCTTAACTACATATTCATCATACATAAGTCAGGTTTAATTGAAAAAAACTGAGTTTATTTTAGTGCACCAAAATATTAATTTAGGAGGATGATGTCTATTTTTCCATTATTTGTGATAAAAATAATAATATATTAATGTGTAGTGGAGTGAGGAAAAATACCTTTTTCCATGTGATGACAATAAAAAATGTTAATAGGTGTCCAATGAGGCTGGTTTTGGAAGAAGCTTATTTGAAAGGCTCAGTTCGTTGGATCATCCAAAGATCATGCTTGATGTCCAGTACCACATGATACCAACAATAAGCCGATTGCCAAATTCAAGCTCGTATCATACGTAGTAATAAGTTGTGAGATCCTCCCAATGTGCTATGAACAACCTACTAGAGCCCTGAAGGCGGTATCTAAGAGAGCATGTATGGTCCATATTCTCTTATAAGTCACATCAATGGAAGCATGAAAGGTCTAATTGGATGATGTTGGACATAGCAAAAGGAATATGGTTGAGGTGCCTGTAATCATCAATATAGTGAAGATCTTGTTCAAATGTGAGTCTACCCCTTTTTTGACGTTTTTCACCAATTCTTTAGTTTTTGTGTTCATTAGTATCTAAATCATATGGACAATTGTACAAAATATATTAACTGTTAAGGTTGTAATGAGATGCTTTTTACAGGATCAGTTATAATGTTATATGCTTATATGAGTTCACATAATGTACTTGGGTTAGTTATAATGTTATATGCTTATATAAGTTCACCTAATGTACTTGAGTTTTTTGGTGAAAAAATGACCAATGGGAAAACGTCCTAAGATTTCAGAATGATTCTAATAATTAATGTCATTTTAATTTTGAATTAGGAGAACTAGAGGCATGTATGAATAAAGACTTTATTTGGAAATTTAGTTTGACCTTATGTTTTACAAGCAAATAATAGGTAGCTATATTGGTTCTGTATATTTGCACAAACTGTAGACCCACACACGTACATATTATTACCCGCTTTCACATTCTCTCCTGCCCTCAATTAATTGATTTGTTTGACAATATTTTAATGACTTCATGATGAAAATAATCCTGATGAAAATAATCATGATGCCTTTTGAATGAAATTTACATCTCTATGAGCAGAGGAGTATTATTATTATTCATCATGAGGCATGCACCCAAAATTGTGATACTTCTATGTGATAGAATGTTTAGATCTATTGGATAAGATTCCCTACTGAAAATATCATAATCTTAAGTGATTGTATCATTCATATCCTAAACTTCAAGGATAAATGAATTTTATTTGTTATCTCTGACAGTAGCATGGTTGTGCCATAGGTTGTTGTGTTTTTCTATTTTCGGGAAATTGAACTACTCCCGTTTTTTCCTTTTTATCACGTTTTACTCCTATTATGGAATTATCTCTTCTTTAGTCTATGATTAGTTATTTTTCTTATTTTGCCACATTTTCTTGAAACCAATATGATGATACTAAACAACCAACATGATTACCTATTTCAGGTATGGATGTGACTCAACCCTTGATGCAAAGGAGTGGATTTTGTTTTGAACATTTAAGAGTTGGTTCTAGTGAAACAGCTTGAGCTTATATACCAAAATAAGGTTGAACACGAGAATGAGCATGTTAAGTTTAAAAGTTGTAGAAAAATGCGGTTTTTCTTCATAATACGGAGTATATACTATATAGTTGCAACGGTTTGACTTTCACGTTTGTCAACGCACAACTTTGAGTATAACTATATTTAATTATGCATTATTGGAAGTTAATATTTTGAAAATTCACATTAATAGAAATTTAATACTCTCTCAGTCCCATTTTGTAAGATACTTTTTCTATTCACTTGGTTAACACACATCACTCTTAATCTCTTACTTTATGTATCAAATTTTTATCAAATTTGAGTTAGGCTTTTGCTACTTCGTAAGCTTTTAATGTAGTTTGTGAACATGTAATTTTTTTCTTAAAATAATTTGAGTGCAGACAGAGATCTATTTGTTTTATCATCGGTCAAACATCATCAACGGTAAAGTGCATTAAAATTCAGGACGGAGGGAGTAACATTTTATATATAATAATTTGATTGTATATATTACTAAAAATCATGATCAAAGTAAGATGTGTGAATAATGCAAAAATCAAATATCTCGAAGAATAGAGGAAATACTTTTCACTTTTAAATCTCACTATCCTAATAAATTAATTACAAGCATTTTCAATATAGTGCAATTTACTATAGTGCGTAGTTGCGTACAAGCCTACAAGGAAATATACAATTACAAAAAAATAAACTACACTCTTTTATAGAAAAATAACTATTATATGTTACACTAGAAACGTTACAACAAAATATCCTAATTGACAAGTTAAATCATATTGGGCATCTATTCTTCGCGCAACGCGCGTCATATAGTACTTTAATATAAGGCATAAGCGTACGAATATTTGGTATGTCTGTGATCTTGTTCCATAGATAGGATAAAAAACAAGGTATCGAATCGAACCCAAACGTGAATTATCAATTTGCTTCAGATTCTTTTTCTGGGATTAAGATCCCAACTTAGGGAGTGTTTGCGGTTGCTTGTGCTTTTTAAAAGTGATTTTTTTAAGAGATTGTTGGAAAAGTGATTTATAGTAAAAGTAGGTAGTGTTTGGGAATAGAAGTGATTTTAAAAAAAATGTAAAGTTGGAGTGTTTGGTAAAAAAAGTGATTTTTAGTGGAGTATTTTGTTAAAGTACAAAAATGCCCCTCAAATAAATTAATATTACTCCTTACTGAATGCCCAACATTCCATCGTTCAATCTACGTTTTTCTCACACCTTCCCAAGAAGCTCATTCAAATCCTAACATTGCATTCAAAAAGTGTATATTATTGTTTAGAAATTAGAAAGAATAGTACATTGGACTTGAATACTCCGTTCCATACTTTCTGCAGAATACTCCTACATCACTCCTTGCATACTCCGTTCATACTCCGTTCCAGACTTGGTTAGGAAAGAATATATTCTACCTTAAATCTAGGATTCTCAACACTTTCTGTCTTTTAATACTTCTAATTAATCCTCTTAGTTCAGAAAAAACTTTTAGATCTCTTCAATTTCAAATCAAATTGTGGAGCTCTCCGTCGAATCTGTGTACTGCTTGGCCACCAGCAGCGACATCGCACGACACATTCGTCTTCATCACCGGCGGAACATAGCGGCGGCAGAACAGAGCGGCGGCGGCGAACAACTTGGCCACCGGTGGTCTTAGATTCTACTGATAATTGATGAAAGTGGAAGGGGTTCTTTTATGTTGGAAGCCGTTCTGGTACGAAGGATGTGACGAGGATGAAGGGTAGCTTTGGGGATAAAGGAATTTGTTTAGGAATTGAAATGCCCTTAAGGTTTGACTTATTTACCAAAAAGCCTAGAAGCAGATAAAAGCATCATCAACCTAGCTTCCAACTTCTGGCTTAAAACTACTTAAATTAAGTAGAATTTTTCATTTGCAAACACTACTTTTGACTTTTTAAAAGCCAAAAGTCCAAAAGTGCTTAAAATAAGCAATAGCAAACACACCCTTAATGATCCACCATGCATAAGATTGTGAAGAAAATTGAATATGGAATTCTTCCGAAAAGCAGAGAAGGTCCGGCTCAGGGGACGGAGAGACAAGCACTTAATAGCCGCCGACGATCAAGAGTCCGTCGTGCAATGCCGGAACGGACCCGTAAATTCCAGCGTCTGGACGGTGGAGCTCATGGAAGGGAGAGCCGTCCTCCGCCTCAAGAGCTGCTATGGGAAATACCTCACGGCATCTGGCCTCCCCTTCCTCCCCGGCGTCGCAGGGAAGAAGGTCATCCAGATCCTGCCGGAAAAGAACGACCCGTCGACGGAATGGGAGCCCATCAGGGACGGGTTCCAGGTCCGGTTCAAGACGTTCAGGGGAAATTATTTGCGCCCGAACGGCGGGCTGCCGCCGTGGAGGAATTCGATTACCCATGACCCGCCGAACCGGAACCGGACGTACGAGAAGGCACTGTGGGATGTGGAGGTGGTGGAGGATCGGTCGGCTGTGGAGGAAAGTGGACACCGGCGGACGAGATCGGACGACAGGGAGGACTCTGCATCTAGACGAGGAAGATCGATTCGATCCGCCGCGTCTCTTGTATCGCCTCGGTCATCCGATGCTAAAAGAGGGCAAGAGTTCATTTGACTGCCAAATCATATGAACAGTAGAAATCTTTGGGGCTCTTCTAAATGGAATTTTTTGATGAAGTGCAGTTTATTCTCACTTAATTTTAACTTAAAATTCTGAAGGTTGTTAAATAGATCATTTACAAACACTGTGTTTTATACTTTTATGTATATAAATTGCACATTTTTTTTCAATTCTACATTTGATTGATTTTTGGATTGAATTTTTAGTTAAAACTTGGTGGACATAAACTAAACTTGTTGAAGATTATGCTCAATAAATTTAATAAAAAAAATTCCACCGAAAAAAATTCTCAAATGCCCCGAACGTGAATCCTATCAGGTCGGCCTAATATGAACTGTCATCATCATTTGAAATGTAATGGAAAAATACATTCAACAAATATGATTACATATGTTTCTTTAAAAAATATGACGGATAATATTAAAAAGATAACGTTAACTTAAATTTATAGATGATATATCATCATATTAAGGAAAAAAGATATGAGTCATATATTTTGTACTTCCTAAAAAACATCAATTTTAGTCATGGAATATTATGATGTTTTTACTTGGACGGTTTTCAGTCTCAGACCAGATCAGGCTAGACCAAATCATACAAGTTCAGATATCAGTTCAGACTAGACCAGACCAGACTTGATAGTTATAAAATACACAGAGACCAAACATTTATCGGACCAGACCAGACCAGACCAACAAATTTCAATCCAAGTTAAAACATCCTTAGAATACATAATTTTCTCTTTAATCTAAGCGCCAACTATATGTTCTAAAGTGAAAGTACTATGTTTTTGGCTTGCTTAGCTAAAAAGAAAATGTTCTTGGCTTGCTTTGACCTAAATAATTTCAAATTCGAAGCATGTGATATGTTGAAATTATGTATTTTATTTATGACGTGTTTACCGACTTCTGTAATCTTTTGCTATGCTTTAACCTTAGTTTCAAAATGCCAAATGAATCGGTTCTACTAAGAGCCCGTTTGGAGACCCCTTTTTTCGGCTTATTCAACCAGCTTTTTCACCAAACACGTAATTTTTACTTTCGCGTGCTGAATTGGGTAATAAGCAGAAAAAGTAAGGTTGGAGTTACTTTTCTGGCTGTATTGGCTGAAGTTACTGTAGATGACCATTTTAGCTATTTTTACATGTAATTTTTTCTTTATTTTATTAATAAAATATATTTTTAAAATATTTTTTTCTAGAATCAGCAGAATCAGCCTAAACAGCCACTTCAGCCAGAACTTCATAAATTTCAGCAGAAACAGCCAAAACAGCCGATTTTTGTGCTACCAAACGGGCTCTAAAAGTCTAAGGGAAAGTTCCCGAAATGGGACTAAAAAAGTTTGAAAATTCCAAAATAGGACTGTCATGTTTTTATTCCCAAAATAGGATTAATTACTGCCAAATTTGGAAAATACTGCCATGTTTGAAGTCTGGTACTGCCAAAACATGACAGTAATTAGTCCTATTTTGGGAATAAAAACATGAAAGTCCTATTTTGGAATTTCCAAACTTTTTTAGTCCCATTTTGGGTACTACTCCCTCCGTCCCAGAATTAACTTCGGTTTTGACTGGGCACGGAGATTAAGAAAGTGAGAAATGTGTGGTGGAGAGTTGTGCAGAGGAGAGAGAAATGTGTAAGAATGGTTGTGAACCACAAATCCTTTGCTAAAAAAGGAAAGAGAAGATAAATTTGGGACGGACCAAAAAGGAAAGAATGAAGATAATTATGGGACGGAGGGAGTATCTCAAAGTTCTAAAACGACCCCCGTCCCAATACAAAGTAGAGTTATGTTATAAGCACATTCGCTCTCTTACAAAGTGATTACAGTAGTCACATTGTAAATTTGTGTGTACCTGTACAATTTTCTATAAAGTATTCTGAAAATCTAATACTCCATATAATATTGTCATGCTAAATTTATCTATTGCAGACAAGTAGGGTAGATGGGTATGCCCAAATTTAATGCACTAATTTCTTTGTAATATATAAATTCAGCGCATTCGTCTTGTGTGTTTAAAAAAGTGAAGTTCTCTCTGTATTATAAATAATCATCCGAAGAATTCCTTTTCTGAATATAATTGTCAAATAAAACAATAATTACCATTTGTGTATATACCTAGCGCGTGATTTCAGATTCATGCATTTTCATCCAAACTGATTATGCTATCTCAAGCAGTTTTTTAAGACCAAACACTTCATACTCAGTTTTAAATAACAATGTTTAAAACATGGAGCATGTTATTATGTTGAGAAAAAAAGAGGTAAATGTTGGATATCAGCCGTGTGGCAGTTTGCTCTTTCCTTGTGCCTATTTCGCTATAGGCGGTTGGTTCACAGGTACAACCAGTTGGCCATATGAGTGAAAATTTGGAAGAATGAATCAAACAATCAATATAGAAGCTAACCAACGGATATAGATATGATAATATAATAATGATATACATATGAAAATAGAGATATTACCCAAAATCGGACTAAAAAGGTTGGAAAATTCTAAAACAGGACTGTCATGTTTTTATTCCCAAAATATGATTAATTACTGCCATGTTTTGGCAGTACCAGACTTCAAACATGGCATTATTTTCCAAACATGTCAGTAATTACTCCTATTTTGGGAAGGGAAAAGGTGCAAATAGGCCCATGTACTAACAAAAAAGGTCAAATAAGCCCTTATTTAGGAGGCTCTGTCCGGCCGTCGCCATTTGGGTTGGTTCCCGGTGGAATTTTTTGATGCAATTTTTTTAGCATCTTATTCATTAAGTCTAGTTTACTCATACAAAATTTCAGCTAAAACTTCAATCGGGAAGGCATTCAAATGAATTCTTGAAAACAACTGCACACTTAGAAGCGCACTTATCTTCAAGAATTCATTTGAATGCCTTCCCGATTGAAGTTTTAGCTGAAATTTGATATGAGTAAACTAGACTTGATGAATAAGATGCTCAAAAAAATTCATCAAAAAGTTACACTGGGAACCACCCCAAATGACGACAGCCGGACAGAACCTCCTAAATAAGGGTTTATTTGACCTTTTTTGGTTAGTACATGGGCCTATTTGCACCTTTTCCCTTTTGGGAATAAAAAACTTGGCAGTCCTATTTTCGAATTTTCAAACTGTTTTAGTCCTATTTCGGGAACTTTTCCATGAAAATAATATGGAGTAAATAAATTATAAAGGTGGGTGTTGGTTCAACTGAAAATAATATGAAGTAAATAAATTATAAAGGTGGGTGTTGGTTCAATTATCACTACAGGAAAATGATGAAGGTTTTGCTTCCCATGATTCTTTCTGATTCTTTCTACGTTCACGAAGTTCCTCAACAGTTGAAAAGAGAAAGGATGACAATGAAGAGTGAAGAGATTGAGTTCGTATAGTGAGAGGAGTAGCCTGAAAGTCCATATGATGAAAATCCAGATCTGAATGTGATTAAAGCGGGATTTACCGGTTTAGGGACTTTGGAGCAATGGAAAATGCTAAGTATACACACCATGTACACAAGTTGTACATGGTATAAAAGCAAAAAAATCTCATTTCTTTCTCCCTCTTCTCCCTCTCTCGGTTCTCTCTCGGTTCTCTCTTCCTTCTCTCTTCTATCTCTCCCCCTTCTCTCTTTCCTCTTTACCCAATCTCTTCTAAAATTCTCAACAACAGAAAAATTATCTTCTTCATCCTCCTCTTCCCTTCTTCATCCTCTTTTTCTCTACCTTTATTTATCTTTTTTTTTTTCATTATTTGCACAAAATCAACTTATTCATCTTATTTCATACATTTTTATTATGTTTCTAATTTTATTCAAATTAATGCAAATTGATTACACATACAACTACATCCTCCATTTGGATGTATATAGAAAATTGATTTTTTTGTTCACCCAGACAATTACAATTGATCACACAGACAACTAAAGTTGATCACATAGACAACTATTGTCTGTGGAACGCACAACTATTGTCTGTGTGGTAAAAGTTGTCTGTGCACACAGACAAATAATTGTTTGTGCAACATGAAAATATTGTCTGTGCACACAGGCACTGCACATATATTGATTGATTTGCAAGCTGATGTCAGTGTCAGACGGCTGTCAGCGTACTTTTTACAAAAAAGTAAATGTCATACAGACAAAAGTTGTCTGTGACCACAGACAATTCCGTACCAATTGTCTGTGACCGACATTTTGTGTACAAGTTGTGTACAACTTGTGTAACCTAGCATGGTTGTAGGAGAAATTCACTTTGGCATTTGGATTATAAAAAAAATGATACGGAGTAATAATGAACTATTTTACCGAGACCAAATACAAGTGCAGAACTTGAGACCATAAGTTGCGTCGAATTCCTCATAAACTACAACAGCGAGGGGATGACGTTATTGCTTTCTGCCTCAACTTTGCCTTCTGCTCCAACATCTTCAAATCTCAACTACCTGTCATCCTCAATTGCTAAACCAGCAAACTCGCCATCGCGCCTGCTTGTTACGGGTAAAAGCCAAACCAGTTCTTCAAATTTCACATATTCTCTACTATTCAGCCACAATTCAATTTCCAAAATAATGACTTGTTTTGTTCTTGCTTGGTGTTACGGTATGCAATAGGATTGGATAAGAATAAACTTGGAAGCCAAAAGGCCCAACCATTTGTTGCTTTATCTGTGGGTTCTCTTCAATCAGTTTCCAAAACTGGACTAGGCAGTATTAAACCAAGAAAAGGCGGTGATGAATATGGGAAATTGGTCAAATTGAGTGAGGGAAGGGACGAGGATGAGATATATGGCTCTGTGTGCCCCGGTTGTGGAGTCTTTATGCAGGACAAAGACCCCAATCTTCCCGGATATTACAAGAAACCCACTGTCTATTATTCCGCAATAGATATAGAGGAAAACAATGAGGCCCTTTCGGATTATGGTGATGATGGTGATGAGTTTGAAGTGGTTGATGATATTGATACTATTGAGGGAAAAATGGAAGAAACCGATTCTGGAAATGTGGATAGAATTGATTGGGATGCCGAAGACTGGAATTCGGGCTTTGTAACCAAAGATGATAATGAATTGGACGGATTTGGCCCAGCTGGTGTAGGTTATGGTAATGTCACCGAGGAGTTTCTTGTGAGAAGGAAGAAG